CGCGCCCTGGCCAAGCTGGGCCCGCCGCGCGCCCCCTCCCCTCGCTTCCCCGCGCCTCGCCTCCTCCTCGCGTTCTTCTCGCCTCCTCTCCTCCGCCCGGATCGGCTCCCGCCCGCGCCCGGGCCGCGAATCCCAGCGCGGCCGGGACCCCTGTCTCGAGCGCTCTCGGCGGGGCCCGGCCCGGACCAGGTCCTGGTGGCCGACACCGCCCCTTCCCACGGGGCCCGGCGGGTTCCGGACCTTTCCGACTGTGGACTGAGCGGTGGGAGCAATCTCACCCCCGGCAGACCGTGAGACTGGGCTGAGCGGACCCTCGCGGCCGCTCCGGACACCCCCGGTGCTGGAGCGCGGACATCCTGGGTCCGTACTAAGCGCGTCCCGGGCTCCCAGCGGTGCCAGCTGACTCCGGCAGGGCCGGGCAGACCCCCGCGAAGCCCGCCGATCTGGACTGGACAGAGCGAACCCCTGACAGTGCCCAGCCTGGGGAATGCGGGGCGTGGGCTGAGGGGAGCCCGGCGCCCTCCGATCGCTCCGACTTTGGCTCACGCGCTGGGACTGGCCTGGTGTCGCCTCGGTCGCCCTGAGCCCGGGTCACCTGTGGCCTGGGAGATCCGAGGCCGCCGGACCCCCGCTCCTTCCCCACAAGCGGGGGTTGGGGGAGATATTTTCTGTCCCCCATCCTTGGAGCACGGAGGCCCCGCCCCCTCCCACCACCCTGATGTCTCCCGCGGCTCTAAGGACCTCCCTGAGGCCTGGGGCCGATGGGTCCAGAGAGAGAAGCCCACCCTAGGGAGCCTTGGGGGCCCCCCAACCTCGTCTTGGGGCTTGGCCCCCGACGCTGCTCGGATGGAAGGCCTGTGCCCCCACCCTCGGTGAGTCCGGGAGCGAGCGGTGAGCTGGGGTTCTGAGGGAAGGCGGGGCTGGGGAAGGGAGGGTCCGCTGGGAACGAGGGCACCCTCGGGCCAGTAGGAGGGAGGACAGAGGACTGAAGAGGCCCTTGGGTGAACCAGTGGGGTCAGGCAGTGCTGGGGGGGGAGGTGGTTTGAGGAGAACCAGGGAAGGGTGCCCCATGGCAGGCTGAGGACTTCTGCCTCTAAAGCAGGGACTCCCTGTTTTTCCTCTAAAGGAGGGGCTGTACTGTAGACCATCTGCCTCCATCACCCCTCCCCACGAAGAAAAATAAAATAAAATAAATCCCCAGTGAGGAAGGGTGCAGGCTGGGGAGAGGAGGGAGGCAGTGCATTGCCGGCTGGTGCTGCAGCCTGGGAGGGCTGACGCCAGGCTTGCTGTTTCTGCAGGGGGCTGCCCTCCTCCAGTTGAGCTCCTTTACCAGAGTTGCCCACATCTGGAACCCCCTCCACACCTGAAAGACCCTGGCCACCATTCTTCTGCAGGTGTCAGTTGCTTCCCCAGAGCTCTGCCTTTGCAACTGCCTAGGAGTTGTGAGGGGATTACTGCTGCCTTCCCCCCATCCCAAGGGCATCTCTTACCCTGAGTCCCTGCAGAGTCATCCCCCTGCCTCCGTGTCCAGGCTCAGCCAGAGATCAGCTCAGCATATCCACTGGGACTTCAAGTCCTGGAAGACGCTCCTGAGACCCAAGGCCCCTCCCCCTGTCCTCCTGTGTCCTCACCTTGACCCCCTCTGTCAAACTTTGTCTCCCTCTGGGTGTCCCATTCCCCACCCAGAGGCAGGGGAGGAGGGGTGGCAGGGGGCAGGGGCTGGGTGAGGGCCACCCAGGGCCAGGGTGAGTTGGGGGGCCGTTAAGATGTGGAGCTCTGCCTGGCCGAGGGGGGCTCCGTGGAGGCAGACGCAGTGTGTGCCCAGCTGGGGGGAGTATGGGCAGGCCTGCGGCCACCTGGTGAAGGATGAACATTCGGGGCACCCCGGACCTCGGGCAGCCCAGTGACGACCCCAGCAGCGGTGGCGAACGGGAGAGGATTCGACAGCGCATGAAGATGGTCATCGGACAGCTTGAGGGCATACTGCGGGAGCTCAAGGAGGTGGCCAAGGAGCTCCGGGAGGTGAGTAAGGGACCAGGCAGACCCTAGACCCATTTTTCTGTGCCTGGCACAAAAAGTGTTCATATATCCGTGTTTGTATGTGCAGAAAGCTGCGTGCGTGTGCTGGGTGCCTCCTTCCCCTTGATCTCCTATCCCCAGATCTGCTTTGCTAGAAATCTCACCAAACCCCGGGGCTGGAGAGGGTTTGGTGGTGCGGACACTCTGGGGCAGCATGTTGTAGAACCATTGCTGTGTGGTTAGCACTCAGGGCTGCCAGGTGGCCAGTGAAGACCAAATCCCAGCTCAGCCTCAGTGGAAAACACTCTTCTCAGGCCCAATCTAACCTTTCACCGCAGAATCTGACCTGATCACAAGGGGCCTCAGGAGACTGTGGATGGCCCTACACAGGCAGTGCCCAGTGCTCAAAGTCTAGCTCAGGGCACCATCTCTCCAACCTGCCCCCACCCACCAGAGATAAGACATATACTCAGAACCTTGATCCTAGGAAAATTAAAGCCAGCTATACTCTCCATGTCCATGGATGGGATGGGATGGGGTCTTGAGGACCGCTGGTGGCTATCAGGCTTGTGCGTTGGCAGGAGCAGGAATCTCCTCCAAGGAGATGATACATCCCCATCCCACCATTCTGATTTTTTTGTTGTTGTTGTTTTGTTTTGCCAAGGCTGAAAAGTCACAGAGAGATCCTAGGATGTGTGTCCCTCTCTGTCTCTGTAAGTGGAGCCAGTTTAATTACTGCTTCCCACATTGCTGGAGTAATGAGGTACACATGTCCTCGGTCCTGCTCCCTGGGCTGTGTTCGAGCCCAAAATGCATGACCAGCGTTCTGAGCTGCTGGCCTGAATTTGCCCGCTGGGTGCCATTATACCAGCCAGGTGGGCTTTAGGCAAATTTCAGCTCCTTGTAACCAGGGCCCCTGCAGAGAAGGCAGAAAGTGTGATTGAACTGGAGTTATGGGCTCAGAATTCTCCCCAGGCAGCAGTGGGGGGAGGTTGAAGAGGGGCGGGTTCAAGCAGGGTTAAGAAGAAGGACTGTCAGTGATGATAGCCCAGCATGGCCTGAAAGCCAAGGAGCAGAACAGATTTGAAGGGGGCTATGTTTGTCGTGGAGGGGAGTGTGAAGGTGCTGAGCAGGAACAGAGGTTGAGCAGGGCAGCCCCTCAGCCAAAGGTCCACTCCTAGAGCCAGCCAGGCTGTGCCTTCTCAGAAGATGGAAATGGCTTTTTCTTCAAGTAAAGAGAGATGATGGTGCTTTTATTGAGGGACTGGGATGAATATCTTTGGAGACTATAATGTGGAGATCAAAAGCGAAATGCCCCTGAGCATTCCCTCCTCCCCCAACCTCACAGGGCGGAGGGAGCAAATTATAATCCCCGCCTCATCCCTCAGCAGCCCCTATCTCATGTCAGATGTTCTGTGACACTGCCTCAGGCTTCAGGAGGGCCAGGGGGCCTATGACCCAGCAGGCCCACCCAGAAATTGCCAAACATGGCTCTAAGCTGTCTGTGACACAGCAGCGTCTACCCCCAACCCAGCATCTTTCAGGCATCTGCCTTCCCCTCCAGCAGAGCCATCCAGTGCTTCCAGGTACCTCACACTCATTCAGACTAGCCCTGTCTGTGTGCTGTTAAAGAAATTAAAGTCCAGAGAGGAATAGGGGCTTGTCCAAGGTCACACAGCCTACCAGTGGCAGACTAAGCCTAGAACCCAGGTTCCTGGTGTCTGTTCTGAGGCTTGAGAAGATGGGTTGATGAGTGACCTGTCTGCATTTGGACAGAGTAAACATGATACCTTATGTTCTTGAGGGGGCCTACTGGGGGATAAGATCAGAAGCACTAGGATATTATTTGCACTTCATTTCAGTGCCCACTCCCTCCCTTTTCAGCACATATACTCACTCCCAGAGCTTCAAGCTATACAGCCCAGAGGCCTTAGGCAGGACAAAAAGAGATGATTCCCCTCCTCCCACACACCCTGTAGACCATGTGCCTCCACCCAAGACTTTGGCAGGTTGCTACGGCAACCAGAGCCTACCCCGTATGCCACCGCCTGCCCGCTGCCAATGGCACCCAGCTGGGAGGGGGGCAGACCTCAGAGCTCCCCCAACCCCCAGCCAGGATCTGGACATGGGATGAGGAACAGAGAAGAGGAAGGTGAAGCTCCGGAGGTCCAGGCAGAAAAGAAGATGCACAAAGTAAGGAATTTGTCAGGAATAGAGTGTCCAACTGAGGGTGCCAGGTCCTGGTTTGGGGTAGAGGGTTGCAACCCCCCTGGAATCTGTGGTCCTCCAAGGGAAGTAGAAAGCTGGATCTGCCAGACTCCCTTCAGTCACTCCGTAGGGCATTGTTCATCAGGGCATGGGTAGGCCCCTGGTCCAGAGAGGAGCAGAGAATTATTCCCTCATCGTACCCCACTCCCCAAGCAGCTCCAGCTCAAGGCTCACCTGCTGGGTTCTCGTTAAGAGGCCAGAGCACTTAGATGTGAAGTCAGGTTTCATTTGTAAGATGCTGGGGGGCTACTGAGGATGCTTGATGAAGAGCAAGGACAGCTGAGAGGAGGGTCTTGTCCCTCTCTGCCATCCTTATCCATCTGCTGCACCCCTTTCCCTGCCTGCAGAGACCAGGGGTCACTGCAGACCCTCCTCACCCTCTGGAGCATAGAGCCGAAATTCACAGAAAGAGACATGCTGCTGATGCCCTTCCTCCCGACCCTGAGCCTTAGTCTGCTCACCTCTGGAATGGAGATGATGAGAATTCACACCTTGAGTGAACTGACAAGAATTTGTCAGGGGCTTGACATGTGGTAGAGGGTCAGTAGCTACTCACCCTTCTAAGGAGTTGGAGTACCCTCTCCCATGCCTTCCTATAATAAGCAGCTGCCTGGCCACCGCTGCCTCCCTAGGCGATGGAAGCAAGTTCCATCCTGTAGGGGAAGAAAGTGGTTTCAAGACTGGGGGAACTAAGGATTCGAAGTGTTTTGAGAGCAGAAAATCGCGCTGCGGAGGGATAATATGGCCATTAGCCCTCATCTCTCCCATGCTCCCTAAAACTCCAGGATGCCAGGCCAATCCCAGCAGACTCTGTAAGTTGCCCAGGCTTTGGGGCTCTTCATTTAGACAGGCAGCACCTCCTGGAGCTGAGAGCATTAGCTCTGCAGCTAGCCCTCTCTGGTTCACATTCCAGCCCTACCCGCACCTAGCTGGGTCAAGTTGGAGAACTTACTTTATCACCTGTGCTTCTGTTTTCTGATCTGCAAATGAAGAGACTGAGCTCTACACATTCCCCCGAGCCCAGGGTGTGAGAATTAAATGTATTGAGTATTGAGCACAGTGATGGACACAAAACTAGCTCTCTGTTAGATATTATTAATGACTATTTTGTGTATGGCCCTGTTTCGTTGGTGTGACACCAGCTTCCTAGCTGTGATCAGGGAGGTCAGAGCCAGGACTCAGACATCTTCGCTGGCAGCCTTCCATTTCTCCAGTAGTGGGGAACCCTCATCCTTTCCAGGGGAAGTGACTGGAGAGTGACAATCATGAAGGTGAGAAGGGGGTTCCCCAACAAGATAGGTTGTGAACAGAAACCTAAGGAAGTGAGAATACAAGTCAAATGGAGAAGAGAGTCTTCCAGCAGCCAGAGGAGTCGGTGCACAGGTCCTGAGGAACAAGAGTGCTTGGCATGCCAAGTGATCAGGAGACTCCAAAGGCAGGAGTAGCTCGCCCTGGCCCTCCAGTGTGAGCTTGCCTTGAGCAGTGTTTGACTCTCCTCCTCCTTGCTTTCCTTCTCCCCAGCTGTTGTTCAGCGTGGGGGATCAAAGGTGACTCAGGCCTGACCACTGATACCCCCTATGGTCAGTGACTCTTGGGTAGAATGTCACTTATAGGCACAACTGCCTCCTTGGCCAAACACCTCAAGGGATAATGGCAGGACACAACCTTCTGCAGCTGGAATGTCCAGGGCTATTCACACCCTCCCCACCTCCCCCTAATTTCCATAGGGAGCAGTCCTTTAGCACCCTCTTCTCTGTCTGCCCAATTGTGCAGCCCCATCAGCAAGGTAGGCAGGGCAAGCCAAGAGCCACGCGGGCATGGGATGAATGTGACCCAGCCAGGGAGCAGCTGGAGCGGGAGAGGCTGGGGACCACGGAGCTGTGCCAAAGTGGGTCAGCGCTATCACCCGCAGCTCAGCAAGATTGTGCGGATTTTTTTCTTCTCATTGTGGGTTTTTTTTTCTTTCCCTGCCTCCTTTTCCTCCTTTCCCCTTTGCATTCTCCTCCTCTGGACAGATCCAAGCTCCCAGGCCAATTAGGCCAAATTGCAGGATGAGAGTCATGAATCACAGTCACCTCATTCCCCACGCTCTTCAACTCCACAGCACACACACCCCCTCCCCCGGAAGACAATAAATAACGTAATCACAGAATTAAAAAATAATCACTGGTCATAAATAATGCAGAATCCCCAGTTATGTAAGCAGCTGCCCAGGGAACTGGGAGGGAGGGAATGAGGTGGCAGCTTGTCAAGTGAGGTGAAGGGACCAGAGACTGGGGAGGACAGGAGATATAGGTTCTAGGACTCTGGTCGTCTGTCCTGGCCCAGGAGCCTTAGGGAACACTCTCCTTGGAGAGGGGAGCACGCAGGGCTGGAGGGAAGACTGGGTAACCAATACAGGGGTGACGAGGATTGTGGAACTCTTGGAAAAGAAACCTTGAGCAAGTATTTATTACACCCTCCAACTGAACATATCGCCCATTCGATGGTTCTCTTTATAGAGTATACCAATCCCTGTGCCAAGCTAAGAAGACATGGTGGGCAAGACTGACCCAGTCCCCTCATGGGGCTCACTGTCCAGTGGAGAGACAGACATCAATTACACTATAATATATAACATATAAAACTGGCCATGATAAATAGTAGAAAGGATTTTTTTTTTAAAGATTTATTTATTTGTACATACAGAACCGGGGTACAGGCTACAGGCTCAGGGGCGGTGAGAGGCTGCACCAGAGACAGAGAGGGGAGCAGAACAGGCAGATCGACGAAGCACACTGCTGAGGGGAGCAGCGGGTGGATCAGGAGAGGTCTGCCACGCCATGTGGTCACCTCCGGGGCAGGCGGGAATCGAACTCATGCGGAAGTGGCTTTAGATTCTCAGTGCAGTGCTTTAACCCGCTGCGCCACCAGGGAGGGCCCAGTAGAAAGGACCCCATTCCCAACTAGACATCAGAGAATACCTCCCTGTGGAACTGCCACAGACCCTGGAAATCTCCACATCAGACTGTTTAGTCCCTTGGTGAAGAACTGACTCCCACCAGCTTTCAAGCCTGATGCCAGGGCCCAGTCGGTTACATACTAGTGCCCAGTGGTGGATAGCATTGTCTGTATTGTTCTACATGCTTTCCATGCAGAAAGTCATTAAACTTTCACAATAGCCATGCCATGTTGGTATTGCTAGGATTCTCCTTTAATGAAGAAACTTAGGCAGAGAAGTCAAGTAACTTGACCAAGGCCACATAGCAGCCCAGGATTGGACACCTCTTTGGTGCCAGAGCCCAAGTTCCTCTGTACTTGGTTGTCCTGACTCTGGAGTTTAAAGCACCTTTATTTCTTACATCCCTGTCTCCTGCTTGAGAAGAGACTAAGACGTAGGGGAAACTGTCTGCCTCTCGTCCCTTAGCCACGACACGGCAGACTTCGACTTGAACCCAGGATGCAACCAGAAGTCTGTAGAGAAGAGGAAGGTCCAGCTGTACAGGCCTCCTGGACAGGTGGCCAACAAGGGTTTCCTGGGTGGGGAGCATGCCCAGGCCTGAAGGCTGTGCACTGTGGCTCTTCCTAGCGGGACATTCAGAGTCCGGCTCCTGGACCTGGCTTGGCCTTAGCTGAATCATTTAATTCAGATTCCTGCCCCTGTGCTCCCACCCACAGGCAGCAGCAGATGCTTAGCAGATGCTCAGGGAGTCTAATTTGAGGGTGTGGCTTTCCTGGATACTGCAGACCCTCTCCTGAGGCTGCCAATGCCCTGAAGTAAATCCATAGCACCCAGGGCCAGTAGTTCTCAGACCACATCCTGGACCAACAGCAGCAGCAGAGGACCTGGGAGCATATTGGAAATGCATCTTCTGGACCCCCCCACCTAGGGGCCTACAGAGTCAGACCTGGAGGATGGGTGGATACACACTTGAGTTTGCTAGCCTGTGCTCTTGGCCAGGGCCCTGCTAGTCCTTAGGTGGAGCTTTAGTTGAGCCAGGGCTTCTAGAGAAGCTCTGGGGAGCTTCTCCAAGGTGGGTGGGTCATTTTGGGACAGGGGTGACCAGATTTGAGGGCGAGACCAAGTCCCCATGACCTGCCCGGAAACCACAGTGGCTCCACACAGCTTTGCCTACATACTGCAGTAGGCTTCAGAGACTAGGCATCTCGGCTCCCCAGTGCCTGACCAGTGGCTCATCATCTATGATCTCAGGAGAGTTTCTATGCACAGGTGGAAAGCATAACACATATGCTCAAAGAGGGAGATGATGCCACTTTTTTTTCTTCAGTGCCCCCATGGGTCCCTTGCTGTGCTCTTCCTGTGGTTCCTCATGAGGGAGGCAGGGCTGAGATTGTCATGGTCACTTAGTGGCAAATGAAGTTGATGTCCAGGGAGGTTGTGTGACTTGTCTGAAGTAACACAGGGTAATATCTAAACCGAGTCTGGAATCCAGGTCTCTTGTCTCCCCCAGTTCTTCTACAAGCCTCAGCCAAGTGGTCCTGCCATGCCTGGGACCCATGGGGAGTGGACATCCCTAGGCATGACACCCACACACAACTTCTCAAGTCACTCAAAGTCCTAGAATCTCAGAGCTGGAAGGAACCTTGGGGAAAAACTAGTTCACCCAACTCCTTATTTACAGACTGAAAAACAGATCTGGAGAGGCAAGTATCTGACCAGGGCACCCACATCTAACTCCTTGATTCTGGACCAAGTAGGCTTCGCCCTGACCCCACCTCCTCCTGACTCATCATTTCCACCCTTGGTTTCCTCTTGCACTTTGGGGCACCTCCCACCTCCAGTCCTTGAAAACACCCAGCACATCCCTGGACAGCACTAGTCCTTAGTAAAGGCTTGTTGATTGTGGGACTTCATGTGTTCATTCAATGACTGGCTGCTCTGACCAGGAGAGGGGTGCCAGAGAGGCACCAGGAGAACATTCTGGGCTTGGTGACTCTGTGTCTTTCGTTTCTGGTTGCCAGTCCCTCCGCTTTGCTGCTCTTGTGCTGGTTTTGCTTTTGATCTGCATTATTTCTCTTCCTTCTCTGTCTTCTCCTGTGTCTCTGAGTTTCCCTATTCCCCTGTCTTTGTCCCTGATTTATGCACTGACGGTGGTCCAGGTAAAGTGAGGGGCTGCCCTGAGGCAGGGGATGATGAGCTGAGCTTTCCCCTGAGTCCATTTAACAGGGACCTCTGGGTCCAGGGCAGATGGTAGCTCATTGCTTACCATATAACACTTGCTTTATTCCTTCCCCAGCATGCCAGGGTTGATCACCACTTATCAAAGGAAGGGAGAGGTGGGAAGAGGCTCTGGGCACATAGGTTGGCATGGTGGAAGGGAGAGGAGCCTGTTGTTCCTAAAGGGCAGGTGGATACTGACAGGGGCCCATTGCTGACCCTTATAGGGACTGGCCCAAGGTGTTTTAGAAAGCCTGGAAAAATCATCCTCATGAACCTGTCCCCGCTGGCCCAGTCATTTCCTCTTTCTCTATACTGAGTGGATTTGCTGGACTCTCTCAGCAGTTTTTAAATGTCCCCCTCCACCAAAAGAGGAGCAAGCACTGAGCACCAGAGTAACCCCAGAATAGTGACTGGCTTTGGGGGAGAGAGGGTCTAAGTGACAAGGGTGAATGGCTGGAAGGCCATACACTTGTGTCCCCGCACCAGGGACTGTGCATAGGGAGTGGCAGGAATGAGCTGTCCATTGTGGTCCAATCTGGGTCGGCAGCAGGTACATAGATGTGTGACTCAAGTCCTGAGACCATCCTATGATGTCATCAACTAGAAGGGTGGGTGAGACACACTCACACCTATGTGGTGCCAGGCCCCCGCGTGCCCTCTCTCACTCCTCTCTCCTTCCCTGGCCAGGTGGTGAGCCAGATCGATAAACTAACCTCGGACTTCGACTTTGAACTGGAGCCAGATGACTGGACCACGGCCACTGTGAGCAGCACCTCCAGCAGTGACAAGGCAGGTGTGGGCGGCCCCTTTGACCTGGGCCACTTGGACTTCATGACAGCTGACATCCTCTCGGACAGCTGGGAGTTCTGCTCCTTCTTGGACGTCTCCACCCCCTCGGACTCCGTGGATTGCCCCGAGTCCACCCGGCCAGGCGCCGGCCCTGACTACCGGCTCATGAACGGCGGCATGCCCATTCCCAATGGGCCCCGGGTGGAGACCCCGGACTCTTCCAGTGAGGAGGCCTTCAGCACTGGTCCTGCCAAGGGTCAGCTGCCCCAGCGGACCCCGGGCACACGGGAGAGGGTGCGGTTCAGTGACAAAGTGCTCTACCATGCCCTGTGCTGTGACGATGAGGAGGGGGAGGAAGAGGGAGAAGTGGAGGAGGAAGAGGTGGGTCTGCCCCCGGAGCCTCCCCGCTCAGAGGCCCACGCAGGTCCCCTAAAGGCCTCTCCAGCACCCTTCAAGTCAAGGCGCTCTCCACTGACTGGCCGCCACTCGGGCCCCACCTTGGCCCACGAGCAGACCCGAAGGGTCACAAGGAACAGCAGCACCCAAACGGTGTCAGACAAGAGCACGCAGACAGTGCTGCCCTACACATCTACCAGACAGAAAGCGAAGGGCAAAAACTAGGGGCTGGGGAGGGGCTGGGGGATGTGGGTAAATAGACCTATAAATATATATATACATATATATATATTTAAACAAACGCAGTCATAATAAAATGTAAAAATGCTAAGGATCCGGCCCAGAGGGCCCGGAAGCTGTCACGAGCTCATCTTAGACACAGAGACGCCTACTCACCACTTTGGGTCCCAGGAGGTGTAGCCACAGCCTCCCTTCCTTCCTGCCTACCACAGGGCCCCTGAAGGTGGTGTCCAAAAGTATGTAAGTAGGGTGGGAGAGGTCTTCTGCTGGTCCCTGGGCACAGTGGTGGAATCTGACTGCAGGCCTGGGCCATGAGGAAGGGGAGTCTTCGCCAGGAGGCAGGCCTCAAGGGCAGCAGCGTCAAGGCCAAGGGTAACAGTCGGTGTATTTTCAGGAGGCTGCAGGACTGAAGGCCTGGGGTGGCACACTGGGCTGGGCCCAGGGTTCCCTACACTCCCACGCCCTCTACTTCAAAATGGACTACCCCTTCTTCCCAAAGGCAAATCTATGTAGCAGTAGACACCCAAAGCTCCCTTCCATCTCAGCATTGCCAGGGACACATGAAGGTGCAAGCTGCTCCCAGGGGGCAGGTCTCTGTACAGGAAAGCTGGGTACGCTGAAGACCCTACGCACCTGGCTGGGCTGGGCAGGGGTACATTTGGAGAACCTGGACTGTTCTCAATTCTTTAGGCTCCCATGCTCAGCCTTGTCCTCCGCCTTTGATCCCCTCTAGGATCAAAGATTTGGACAGCACCCCTGACTCAGCCCGAGCAGACCTGAGGCCCAATGAGAAAGCTGGCAACTGCCACCATGGGGCTCTGAACCAGGGCCATGGACAGACTCCTGACCACCTTCACCAGGCAGGCACCCCAGAGAGAAGTCTGCTTCTTCACACCAGGAACCTGAGCCTACCTTAGCCAGTCTTGGATGATACCAACAGAGACAAGGTGGGAGCTGGGGTCCCCAGAACTTCATCTGGGGTGTGGCAGACACAGGGCCATACCTAAATATCCTTGTGATAATAATCACAATCATTGCTCATATTCATTGAACAGAGCTCAATGCCCCTACTAAGCCGGGTACATTTTATAGCATTATTTCATTTAAGCTTCACAGTAACCTGGTAAGATAAGAACTATTACTAGCCCCATTTTTCATATGACAAGACTGAGGCTTATAGAGGTCAAGTAGCTGCCCCAAGGTCACACTACCTGAGCTACATTGCCCCCCACAAGTGGGTGTCCTCTAGCCTATACCTGCCTCTTGTACTGCTGTGTGACCTTGGGCAAGTCCATATACCTCTTTGAGCTTACCTACCTCACCTATAAAATGGGAACAATGGTCTTCACTTACCTCACTGGCTGCCATGGAGCTTCAACAAGATGGTGAATGCAGAAGCACTCGATAAGTGATAGTGCACAGGACATACATTATGGTGGTTGTTGCCCAGAGTCCAGTGTTTCTCAGGGTAGGGAGCTCTGAGTGGACAGGAAGCCATGTCTGGGTTTCTGCTTCCCTTTGTTCCCCATGCCAGCTTGAGGTGGGATGTGGCTGCACATTGATTTACCGCCCTGCGCGCAGAGCGGGGAAGTGGTCGCCGTGGCACGGCAAGGGCAACACTCCGCAGGGACTGCCCTGCACACGTTCCAATGAAGGTAGATTTACAGCTGGCCAGGACCTGTGGCAGGGTTCTCTGCTCTCCATTGGTGCCAGGAGAGCCTGGTAGTGCCCACATCCCTGCTGGAGGGCCCTGAGAAGGTGCTGTTCAGCCCCAGTAGTGGGAGACAGAGCGATTGTGCAAGCCAGCGTGGAAGGACTCAGGAGAGGCTACAGACTGGGAGGTAGCCTGGGATGAGTACTCTCAGTGAGAGGCTCTCCCCACAGAGCTGGGCCAAAGTCAGAGCTTCCAGGGTGGAAATCCAGGGTGGGCGGAGCGGGGTCCTTGGTTGTGGCTAGCCTGCCCAGGCCTGAGGGCCAGTATTCAGAATCCCCTTCATCTGCCCCAGGATGCTCTTTGGCAATTGGTCCTGCTCGGAGGGTGGCTGCCAGGAGTAGCCCTGGAGACAGGGGGCAGCCGGGCTCTGGCCTCCTTGAAAGTGAGAAGGGGCCTCCAGAGACCGTCTCTGCCCAGGTATAGTTCCCCTAGCTCTGTGAAAAGATATCCAGTTTGATTTTGAGACCTGTATTTCCTCTCAGGCAGTGAGGTTGGTTTTAGACTTATAGTCTCATCTTTAGAACAGTCAGGGCAAAGAAATCTACAGAAAGTCCCCATTCCACAGAGGAAGTCCCAGAGTCAGGGCTCTCTGGGAAACCCCGGGTAGGTAAGGTAGTCTCCTGGGTCACCCCACCCCATCCTGGCTCTGGTGATTACATGTGATCACAGTTTAATGTCCCTCAGTTATTCCCTGGGCCACCACCGGCACTTCCCCCAATGCAGCATTGGTGTGACGATAGCCTGGAAGAGAAGCAAAGGGGTCCGTGTCTGGAAAGCCCCAAAAGTACTTGGCTGTCTGCATAATTTTACCCCACACAGTCTGGACCTCTCTTGACAGGAGGGAGGCTCCAGGGACTTTCTTTATGACTTGAAATGCAGATGGAGCTATCAGGGAGGGGCTGGTGACTGTCAAAGCTGCTGTGCCCTAGAATGTGTTACTTGTGAGTAGAGAGCTCCCTGTGCCTGAGGAAGCTTCCACGCCTCCTTGCTCCTCCTGGTACAGCACCTCCCTGCTGATCCTGACCACCAACCTTTGCCAGTTTCTGGGTTTCCTCCCCTAAAGTGACCCATCAAATCTCCCTGTTTCCAAAGCCTTGTTTCACAGACCACCTACTATGTGTCTCAGCTGGTGCTGTGGACAAGGCCAGAGAGCCCTTGTGACACAGAGGGGTGTCCTGATTGTCATGAACAGCCCAAGTTCACTGAGCACTTACTAAATGCTGGGCATAGTTCTAAGCATCTGCCTTATCCCATGTATTCCTCCCAGCAAATGAGTTAAGTGATCTTACGGTGTTCTCCAGATAAGGAAGTACAGGTTCTGGAAAGTCAAATCATTTGGCTATGGGCACAGGACGAGCATGGCACCAGGATTGAACCCCAAACTCAATCACGTGGCACTCAAACATCTGCTACAGTAACATCCATGGTGGATTCAGTGCTCTGGTCTCTGGGGTTGAGAGAGGAGACTGGGGGCCTGAGATCCAGGTCAGCCTTGGCAGGGGTGACATTGAGAGCACAAAACCTGTGAGCACCAGTCTTTGGAGATCTCAGCTGCCCTTAAATGGAATGTCATGCCCAAGACATACAGTCTGGGACTGAATGGACTATGGGATCCAATAAATATTTACTAAATGGCGGATGAACCCCATTTGCAGAGGGGCATCCATTGTACATTCAGTCAGTCAGCCCTTATTGCATCTCTACCATGTGTCAGGGTTTGTGTTTCTCATGTACACACACACACACACACACACACACACCTCCCCAGTGAGCATGCAGTTTGGCGTAGCTCGGGGGGCCAGGAGAGCTTAGTTGGAGGGGTTTCAATGCTGAGAAGCCAGAGGTAGCATCGAGTCCAGCTGTTACCTCTAGGATAGGTGGCAGGGTAAGGATTGGTAAGGACTGATAACCTCCAAGGGGCAGAATGTGGGAATCAACTATTTTAAAACCCCAGGACCATCCTCCACCCCTAGCGACAAAGTAAGGCCACTTCTGCAGAAGAGAAAAAGGACTGAGAGGAAGTTGGGAAATCAAGGCGGGCCTGGCTTCCCACCTCTGCCCGCCTTGGCTTCTCTTTCTTGCTCCTGTTCTCCAGCTGGGACTTGTATCAGAAAACTGACATTTATTGACCACCTTGTCTCTGCTAGGCCCTAGGCTGGATCTTTTAACACTAAATGACAGACTTGTGCTCTTTCCAAAATAGGTTCTCAATAATTATTTATTAAATAAATAGATGAACCACAATTTTCATTTCACCTGAGAGAGATGAATGAGGGAGCTGACGAGAGAACAAGGCATTTGTTCAAAGTCTGCACAGTCAGAAATTGGTGGAACTGGAAATTCGACATTGCGGTTGTTACACTTAAGGGAGAGCTACTGTTTATGGGATGCTTGTTATTGCTGCATTAGGCACTTAATGTAAATCATCTTGCCTACTTTATAACAACCCTCCAAGTAACTGAGTCTATGGATAACCATTTTGCAAATGAGATTCAGATACATGTAGTATAATCATGCTCCTAAGAGCAGAGATAGTATCTGCATCTAGACTTCATCATGCTTCCCACACTCCTCATTTTGGGGGACATAGAACCCTTGCAAGTAGAGACATTTCCAGAGCCCAGATTTTCCTCAGTGGAACTGGCCCAAGTCCATCAGGGCTTAGGCCCTGCCTTTTATCAGTGCAGCTGACGGGCCCTAATAGCACTGAGTCAGACTACTAGAACCTGTCCCGGTTCCCTGTGGGTCTGGGGCACTGATAGACAACACAAAACAGCTCCAGGTCCTTCTCCTTCTCAGATATCCAGCCAGGAAACCTAGGTGATCCCAGCCCCATAAATGCCCAGCCTCTTTCTCATCTGAGCTAAAGCTGCTTTAGTTGGAGCCTGATGTATCTAGGAAGGCTTCTGGGCAGAAGAGGACTTTGAAATGGAATTCGCTTGAAATGGAGTTGAATTTGGGCGTCTGGGAGTGGGGACAGGCATTTGCAGGACTGGTAGAACTTGACAAAGGTGGTTGGGGTAGCCATCCAGTGGACAGTGCAGAGAAGCCCTGTGACAGCAGGTGATGCTGGTATGATGGGAAGATGCGTGCACCTCTGGAACAGGGCTTGAGAGGTGCCAGAGCCCTCAGAGTTTTGACTTAGGGAGAAGGAATCTTGAATTAGGGAGAAGGAATCAGGGATTCCTGTCTAGTCCAAGATTGAGTTAAGAGCACTCCATAAGGTCTTATCCAGTAGATACTCTCATGATAGGAACCCATTGTAATAAATAAGAACAGTACAACAATAGCACATTGGTGAGAAAAATCGACCCTGTGAAG